ATGTGCAAGAACAACTTACATAGAAAATAAAGGAAAAATTTGGCCTTAGAAAGCAAACAAAGCTCTTGTTTTGTATCCGTGATTCTTTCTGGGTGTCCATAATGCTAAACTATCTCATTTCAGATGGAAAAATCCAAAAAACTCCAATTAAAAAAAGTCGGTATTTTCTGTATTCGGTATTCGCGCTGCATACTTAATAGCGGCTACAATCATCTGTTATCGAAAATGGGGCAAGAAGCTCCAATTTACGACGCTAAAGATGAAAAAATAGCATGAGATACGAAAAGTTAGTCACAAGGATCTTCTTGAAAGAGTGGAAGATCTAAATGTGTTCATTATTATGTAATGACGCTGACATTATTTAAGTACATAGTAGTGCTAAATATATCAGCTCATAATGGGTTTCGAACGACATACTGTATTTTTCTTACAGGATAAATGTACTTTTGATCACCAAATTTTCCAGCATAATGTCACATTTTTTGTATTCAGCATACTCGATAACCCAGTAGATTTTCTACTGTCAAAAGTTTAGCAAAATTTTTCGAACAAAATGGCACAAAAAAATTTCCATAGGGAAAATAATATTAGTTTCAAAATTTTTCTTAAACTTTTGACGCTACCCCTCGTCAAAAATACAAAATCTACTGGATTATCGAGTGTGCTGAATACGAAAGAGCACTTTTCCACGACTCTAAATGAACTTTATTTTTCTGCCGGTGATATGCTTCTGGTGTGGCAACAATCCTGTTGACTTGTTGTACCATTAGAATCATGCAGCTGTCCGATTGGTATGAAAGTATATTCGTGTAAACATTCTGTGGGCTTAGCAGTTTTATTTAACTTGTATCAAGTTAGCCATAAAATACGTATTCAACCATTAGGCAAACGAAAAGCAAAAGGGCGTCCCAAGAAAGTTAGCACAGCTTTAAATTTTTTGGATAGATATAAATAAAACTGTAAAAATATTGTTCATATCGTTAATATTTCAATGAATATACATCATGTTGAAAAGTTTAGCAATTAAAATTATCTTTTTTTGGTGATCAAAATAATTGATACGCGTTTTTGCACATCTGGTATAATTTCTATCACTTTTTCGTAATGTACTCAAGAACCTAAATAATAGAGAACAGAAACAAAACCTAATGGGCGAGGTTGGTGAAATTTTTATTAGAGAGAAGAAGAACGTTCTTCTTCTGTTATCTAACGTTATTTTCTGCAGGAAAATCAGTTATTCAAGATGAATCCAGAGACAGATGAATTCACTGTAAAAAAGAGTATAAATATTCCTCTTATGCTCGTATAGCAGTCATACACTTGATTATTATTACTTCATCGTCATTATGCATACTCTCATCGTATCATGTGTTTTATTTTGTGTTATTTATCCCATGACTTTCAATGTTATTGAGGTACGTACCACAGTCAACTCCACTGATGAAACATTTCAAGAACTCGTTGTCGCCACCTCGACCTCTGTAGCAGTTCAGACCACAATCCATTCTCCTCAACTTGGCACGGCAGCGAAGTTTGCTATCCTTGCTGGCAGCACAGTGAGTAATGCGGGCCTTAATACACTAGTCACAGACGGTTATGTTCGAATATGTTGCCATTTTCTATAACATTGACTCTGGAAATCGCACGTTTTAAGGACTACAGGTTCAAGCGACATAAATTGTGCATCGCTTTTGTGATATTGGTAATAGTCCAGGCGTAGAATTTACTGGTTTCAGTAATAAAAGTTTCATTGGCACAATATCGTTAGGGCTAGGTACAAATGCTACGCAAGCTAAAACAGACTTGGCGCTAGCTGTTCGTCAAGCAACAGAAGCACCGAAATCTGCATCCTTGACTGGTGTTGATCTAGGTGGGCTTACTCTGCAACCTGGTGTGTATACATTTGACAGTACAGCATCAATAGCTGCACCCAGTGGTCAACTCACATTGAATGGTTCGGGAGTGTTCATATTTCAAATTGGTAGTGCATTAAAAACATCACTTAACAGCCAGGTTTTGTTGGTAAATGGTGCATTACCACAGTGTGTGTTTTGGTTGATTGGAAGTAGTGCAGTGTTGGGCAGTGGCTGTAAGTTTGAAGGTATTATAATGGCATCAGCATCAATTGGATTTATGGATGGCGCCTCACTAGTAGGTGCAGCCTATGCGCAAAATGCAGCTGTAACACTAATTAATAACGTTATCACCGTTCGGACAGCATGTAATCTATAAAATATTTAATCGCATTCATTTCTTTATCCACCGCCATTTTTGCATCGCCTCGTGAACACAAAGTAGGTACCTTAGCCTTGAATTAATTCGCCTTAAAGTGCTTTAAACATTCTTTAGATATGTGCTCCAACAACCGAAAGAAAGTGAAACTGGAGATGTCATTGAAGAAAACAACAGCACAGAAGTATTATTTATTACATAAACTATTTGAAAATAAACATTTTTCAAAGTATCACATTTTTGTTTTTGTCTTTTTTGATACGAATATATGTAATATAGTTATTTCGAATAAATTACTCTTTTTACCACAAAAATGTGCAGTTGATCCTTTTACGAGAAGATACAACAAGGGGGAATAAGCGGACTTCGGGCCTCCTTTCGGAATCCATGGACTCCCGGACTTCGTGAAGTCCCATGAATTCCGTATCAAGTATCAAGAAATCCGTATCAGGTTTTGGACTTCGATAAGATACAAAAAAAAGGCTTTGCTAAGCAGAAGCTGAGTATGTGAGTATACTGAATACCCAAAAAATTCTAATAGGCATGTTAGATCAAAAAGTTGAAGCTTGTTTCATAATGAAACACTAAACCAAAGTAAGAATAGAATGAATTTTATATTTTCATAGAATTATCCGTTAATCATCGGTATTGAGAGCCACATATCCCAAAAACTAAAAGGGATCTTTTTCTAGAAGATACATAAGTATATAGTACAACTTGTAAGGCAGTTTCTAGGAAAAGTCTTCTTTAGTTGTTCAGTAAGCACAAAGCCTGCTTGGTCTGCTTTGCGCACTTTGCTTTGTCTTATTTACTTTTGTTTTGTATGCTCTTACACAGAAAGCTTATTTAGAAGCCGTCTCCCAAACTGGTTTCATATACTTACTGCATGTATACAGCTGTCTATTTCAGATTGAACATAGCTATGTGGGATGAGGAGGTGCGATTATGAGTACGTGCGAAAATGAAAGATACCTTTGCCTTCGGTATTGAACCTGTATTTTATTTTTTTGTCCGTAGGTAATGTTGTTACTCAAAATCTGAAACGTCCAAGAATTGATGAACTCATCAAGTTCTGCAAACCGACAAATTACCAGATGAGATGGAAAATAAGTCGGTATATAGATTACTTTTGAACGAAGCTACAATAGGTGATTTGAAGACGATTTCTAAATCAGACTTACTCTCACTCCTCGTTTTTAAAGTATGTCCTGAATTATCTGGAACTTTATTTAAAGGTGATAAAACCTAAAATTTCACGGAAAAATCTGATGAGAAATGTCACAGCTTTTCAAATTTCGATAAAGTTTTAATTGTCACTCCTCTTTTCCTTTTTTTTGTATCTTTTCTTTTAACAGACCATTCGTTTCACCTAAAGTCTTATTTTTAAATAAAAAAGACGTCTAACAACAACAATATTTGTAATAGAAATCAAGAATAAAATCGCCCTTTTCATGTTGAAATAACTATTTCAAAATGAGACGTTTCGTCTTTATTCTAAAGATATCATCAGTCAACCGATGTAAAAAAAGTAACTTCTATCATAGAAACCGAAGGAATTTTTAAAATATGTCCTAAATTTCTTCTGTCCTTGTCTGTATGTGGGAGAGTGAGTTAGCGCGAATGTGTGAATATAAAAACCTAAAGGCGGATGAGTGCTAAGGCTTTAGGAAAAACGTCCATAGTTCTCGAATCATGGATTTCCAAGATGTGGTTTAGATCTAGTTTTGTCGAGGACAGGTTAGACTATATATCTATGAAAAAATCCATAGATTTCTATGTCTGTTTTTAGGGAAACGAACTAGTTTTCCACAGCTATTCTGGAAAACGGGTCTTTGAAATTTTTTCTAAATTTCTTTTTGCTTATGAAAACATAGCTTCAGGTCTTAGCTAGCGAGTGAGCAAAATCGTACGTCTCTATCTTTTATTCCTTTTGAGTTATTCAAAAAATTATCACCGGTCTTCTATTTTGGCACCGATAGTAGTGCAACAAATATCAAAAAAGAAAGAAAAACGCATATTCACACAGTAGAGATTACCAGTGCTGCTCTTGAAGACTGTTAACAAAAAGAGAAAATCAAACCAACTTTTTTAATCTGAAATATGAAAACGTTTGTTTTACTTAGGTTAGCAAATTCGTTTTCGACAAATTACTGATTCAGACGAAAAAGCACTTTTTTTCTGTAGAAGATGCAAAGGTGAAAATAATATGTATTGAGAACAAGAGAATTATAACAGGTAACACTTATAATCGTTGAACTTGATGATTTTATTGTTTTTTAACTTTTTGTTATTCAATTTATTCACATCAAGCGCCACTGTTATTATCAGATCATTTTTATTTGTTTGTTAGTTTTTTACAAACTTCAGAAGTAAATATACATATTGAGATGAGATTAAAACTATTTTTTGGTAACCTCGAATGTTATGCTATATTAACAGTCCAGTTCAATATACATATAATTACATAGAATACTTTTGATAGTACACCTTCGGTCTCCATACAGACCATTGTGAGGCAAACGTTTATTTTATATCATTACAAAAAACTAAAACCAAAAAAGATTGTACATTCCAGACAGAGTTGACAGAGCCTATGTTTTCGCTTTTGACTTTTTATTTCATCATTTTGTAGTCAGCATAAGGTAGAAATCAAAAACATTGAAGGAGAAGTTTCAGAAAATCCTCATGTCTTTCAAATCTAATCATAATAAAAGATCGGTCTCTAATAACTTTTAATCATAGGTATCATCTAAAAATTAAAAAAATCATTTTTATCTGATGTATTGTTACTGAGAAATTCTGCATACGTGGAAACTTTCCAGCAGAAAAGTAGCTTTTGAGAAAAGACGGAGTCGGTGAACTGATGTACGGACACGTTTTTTTAGGACAATTGAAAAACTTTTTCATAATTTCGTAGAAACTTTTGATATGATAAAAATAATATAGTCTGACACTGGCCACTGTACAGTTATCTAAACGCTCATCTCGAGATTGGAATAGTGTGACGGTTCAAAAACGATTCAAAGGTTTATTAATTTCATTTTTGTTGTAACTTTTCGACTACATTATTTTAGACTCTACTACCGAGTAGAACTATATTTCGGGTTTGCTGTTAAAGGCAGAAAGGGAAAATGTCGAAAAGGAAAACATATACATAGAAAACACCGAAAGACATGATGTCGAATTGGAAAAATGGTCAGCAGGAAAAGGTCGAAAGGAAAAGATCGATTGGGAAAATGTCAAGAGATATTTTTATTGTTATTATACTAGATGATAAAAAAAGTTCCAATTAAATCACAGAGAAAATGTCAGTTCCTGATCTCATTTTTTTGGTCCAGCGAGTAACAATCCAAAGCCAAGTAATAGCTGCTTTGCATTGATTTCATTTTTACCCCTCACCCTCACTATAAACTTTCCGTTCCGTATCAAAGTAGAGAACGAACGCAAGAGAAAAAAATCTATTTTCTTCTATAGTTACATGTATGGCAATGCCTACATAGCGATATCTTTTGAAGAAAGAGATAACTCCTTATTTGCTAATTCTCTAATGTAAAGTCGTAGAATGACTGGATTAAATACTGTCTACATAGACGATCACCCTCGATGAAGAAAGTTCAGTCGACGAAGATAAAGGAATGATTCTGTTCTAGTAACAACCAATAACAACCGTGAAGATAAAATAACATAAGATATAGAAATCTTTCATCTACATTTGACTTTCGCTATTATCCTTTCGATGTTTTCCTGTTAATTCTCTTTCTTATCCAACACTGTTTCGCGATCGACATTTTCCTTTCAACATTTTCCTTCTCATTGATTAAACATTCGCTATTTGTCTTTTCGACCTTTTCCTACTTTTTTGTCGACATTTTCCCTGTTAGACATTTTACTCTTCTGCGTTTTCCGCCAATCCGCAGTAACTCCTGACACTAAGATAATGAATTTCTCCGTTTCAATGCCGGATGTTACACGTTCTTCTTTGTTACCTTGATGAATAAATCAAGCACAAATCAAAAAAACTCAAATTAAAAATAATGAACTAACTCGTTCACAATGTCTTGTGTGAATTTTATTAATTAAGAACTAGTCTTTCAAATCAATTCCGCGCTGGCAGAACTAAATGAAAAAGCTAATCATTTGAACAGAGTCCATGTATCGTTAAATGCGAAGTGTTCTATTTAAATTCGACATTTTAAGCTCGATATTTTCTCGTTATGCTCAGTATGTTTCAGAAAAAGATTGCCTGAATTTGCAAACAAAAGTTTATTTTATTTTATTTTGCAAATAACTGATGACCCTGTACGGATCCTAACAGTACAAAATTATTGAAAAAGCAAAGAAGACAAGGGCACATATTCCCTAAAAAAGAAAACTGATATTAAGGACAAGGCACCACGCAGTGTAAATTTACAATAAAGAATTTCAACTTTCAATTAACAAAAGAACAAAAAAAGTATAAAAATATAAGTATATAACCTACATTAGTTTAAAACACTTTCGGAAAAGAAGTATATCAAACAAGTCATACGCTAAGATCGAACAACGAGAGAAAGTACTGGCACAACAATTTAAACGTTTTTCTAGCACTGATGGATGCTCCACAAATCTTTTTGATCTAAACATGTCTTTGATAGAATTCTCTGCATTACGCCAAGCCCTTCTGTACACATTTAAGTTAGCCTGTTCAAGTAGCAATTCGCCATTGATAGAATCTGATAGTGCTGCCAACTATCTGTCCCAATGGAGAGCACATCTATCCTCTAAAGATACTTCAACAAATACAAACGCAAAGGTATCTGGCCATTGAAGGTAAGATATGATTCGTTTAAGTGAAGTGTAGCAAAAATGTGATAGATCGATACGTTGTTTTTCGATAAACACAGGAAAAAGTACAAACATCCAGGTAAACAAGGGTAGTACGTAAGATACAAACAGTGCTCTTCTTAGAAAGACATATGTTGAACCAGCGTAACGATAAGAATTAATCATGGCAGTACGCTGTCGAATTTTTATCATTGTTTTTTTAATTAGTGTTCCCCATCCTAATTTCGAAGTTATTAAATAACCTAAGTACTTAAATATATTCGCCCAATTTATATTAACACCTTCTAATGAAATAGGAAATCTAGGAGCACCGATTGCTCTCGCCGCCCGAAGTGCTTCAGTTTTGGAAAGGTTTACAGACTGGACTGAATAAAATTCGAGGTTACCAAAAAATAGTTTTAATCTCATCTCAAAATCGGGGCATAGCTCTGTATATCTGACCCCAATTCTACCAGCAAGTACTGCTGCTAGATCATCGGCAAAGAAATAACTTGAGCCAATATACCTTTCGAACCACAACTGGTCGAAGGCCAATTTAAAATCAACAGGAACAGTTGCATTGATAAAGAGTGTGTTAATTATGATTAGGTATGCATCGGTTTCGGTTATTAACCGAAAATCGACACGTGCCCGATCAAAATTGAGCACATTATAAAATTTCTTCGATTATAACCGATATTCGGTTATTTCGGTGTAAATAAATATGTATAAACTGTATAAAATAATACATGTATGTGTAAAGGAGAGGAAAAAAGACGTCCGCACTTCAAGTGTGAAAAAGTTGAATGCAGACAAATGGGAAAGTAGTCCTATACTTTCTGTGTGTCTCTCTAAATGGGAAAAAAGTCAGTGTGTAGAAGCGGTCTCAGTTTTACATTCTTATCATGTTCTATACTTCAATGTTACAGGCTTTGATTTACGGTGCAAAGAAGTTCTTCTTTCTATTTCTTTTAATTTCGACGTGTTAATTCTTCTCGAAACGGACGTCAGAGATTTCTCCTTTTGCAGGCAGGCCTTCTGTAAATACAAGTTGTTCTACCAAAAAGGTGAGAATAGTAACGGCGTGCGATAATATTGGTTAGGAATGATCTAAAAGTCCCAAGAATCGACTGCTAACTACCCAATATCTGTATAATCCAGGTTTTAGGTGAATAAAATCTAAGAATCATGGGAGTTTATGCATCGGAAAGTAGATCTTGGAGCTAAAACGTTTAAATGCGTAGTTTACGCTGATTTCAACGTCGACCTAGAAAAGGCAAGCACTAAAGCGGATATAATGATGAATGGGACTGACTCTCAGTTTTTAGGTCCATTTGTTCCATATTCTCCTACAGCTTTAAAATCGGATAGGGTGATCGACTTTGCGTTTTGCAGTAGTTTTTCAATCTGTATTCAAACATACGAAGTTAATACAACTGGTGATCATAAACCTATTCTTTCAATAACACCTACGAAATCAAAAGAGACTTCTTTTGGCCCTAACTGGAAAGCTTTTTCCCTTTTCCTAGAATACGTCTATTCATTTAGGGAAGCTACATGGAATTTGAATCTTCTAAACGAAGTGTACAATGATTATGTAACCTTTCGTTCTCTTCTCATTACACGATGTACGATCTTCCCTTTAAACAAATATCGAGTTGCCTCCCCGAAACAACTAAGAGCGTTAATGTCGTACACCCGTGCTCTTTCTTTTAGACAGTTAAGAACGAGAGACGTGGAACTAAAAGATCTCGTACGTGAGTTAAGAAAATATCTTAAAAAAGAGCTAAAGCTTTTTCTGTCATCACAATTAGGTATGCATCGATTCGGTTAACCGACGTGTCCGTTAAACCGAAATCGAAATAATCGAATATCGGTTATAGGTAAGCTGAGGAGAATGGGGATCCCGAAAGCATATTTGAAATGGATAAAAGCTTGGTTAGAAAATCGCACCGCGTTCATTGAGATCCAAGGGAAAAGATCACGTTGGATTCCAATAAGGAGCGGAAGGCCAGAAGGTTTTATTTTTACTCCTACTCTTTTTATAATGTATCATGCGGATATTGGAAACTTCCTATATAATGCTGTATCATGCCTTTTTACAGACGATTTGGCTACAGTATTTGCCGGTAGGATAGGAGTTAGATACACTGAACAGTGTTTGGATTTAGAACTACGGTTAAAAATTTTTTTTCATAGAATTTTACTCAGGTTTAGCGGTTCAACCTATAAACTATGATAAAACTGAAGCTTTATGGTCTGCTGGAGCCACTGGGAATCTAAAATTTGACATTTTATGTGGAACACATAAAACAAATTAGGTGAAAGCCTTCAAATATCTCGGGTACTGGATAACTCCGAAGCTTGGTGTATGATGATAAGGAAAAGCATCCTCAAAATCAGACCGTATGTGACAATGATAAATGCTTACTGTATTTCATCTCTAATCTCCCCTCAACTGAGACGGGCTCGTTTCTCTTGTTATGTTCTTCCAATCTTTATGTGGCTTTTTGCTATTTATCCACTTTTCATACAAAAACAGCGTACAGATTTATCACACTTTTATTACACGTGCTTAAAACGTGTACCATTTAGTTTTCAATGACCAGATACCTTTTTTGCGTTTGTACTCAATGAGATTTCTCTCAATGATCGATGTAACAGATATTGGAAAAAATATTAGTGCACTCTTGCCGAGTCTACGGATGGCGAACTTTTTTTTGAGCACGCAAATTTGAATGTGTTTAGGAAGGAGTGGTCAGATAAAGAAAATTCTATAAAATGCCTGAGAACTTCCAAACGGTTTGTGAAGCATATTTTTGTGCTTAAAAAATGCTTTCTTTGGTGTTCGGATAACGCTCTGGGTGACGGGATCCCAATTCTCGACATGAATGATATCCAATTTCTACAAGAGTTCTCGGAAAAATTCTGATAGATCAGTTTTTTCGTTGTTATTTGCTCTTCTGTAGTTATTTATATTCTCTCATTCTTTGTTGAGAAAGTAAACAAATGTAAATAAAACATTCCGGATTTATTGTGGTCATTTTCTCTGCTTTTTGTGTTTAACTTTAGTTATAAATATGCTTTTTCTCTTTTTTTTTGTAGGAGAATTTCGTCTAATGGTGTTACTTTTCTATTTTCTTTTCTTATTCAGGTTATATATAGTGTGTGCTCACGTTGCAATGTACGGTACACATATATAACATACATTAAGACTGTTGTCTGTGTAGAGTGATGTCACGTTTCTTTCTTCTCCTTAGTGTGTACGAACGTTATAGGCTTCATGCAGATAAGACGTATATGCTGACCTTCGTTTCTTTTTCCATATATCACGTGTATATGGATGAAGAGGAGAAAAGAAAAAAGAAAAGAAAATCGCTATTTGATCTGTATCTACGCGTAGACTTTTTAACGGCTTCCCTTACATGTGTCACATGTGTTTTGTTTTCTCACTGTCATTTCTTTTTATTTCCTCCATTGGTGCAGAGAGAGACAGGATGGAGCAGTTTTTTTTACCTTGAATGCTCACTGCTGTAGAATAAAAAGGGGAAAAAAGTAATAAAACGAGTAAAAAAATAAAATAATTTTTCCTCTTAGTCTCAAGACGTGTATCTAAGCCATTGAACTTCGTTCTTGTTTTCTGTTTCTGTTGGGAGAAAAAATTATAAAATAGATATAGTAAAACAACGACGATAAGACGTTCAGAGAAGTGTAACCTGTTTCAACAGAATGATCATCAAAGTGAACAGATAGGTAAATTGTTTGTATTGACTCATTGCCTATACTATACCATGCAAAAGTAATGTCTTAAATGTCAAGTGAACTCGATTTTTGTGACCTGTCTGCGGGAAGCGACTATTTTTTGAAAATTAAATATCTCGAGAAAAGAACATTCATTTTGGCTGAAACTTTCAGGATATTCTAATGGTCATTAAACCTGTCTATGAGCGAAATTTGAGGTCGAAATTCCGTAATTTCTTCTTATGATCAATACTCAGAAATGGGTCGAAATTCATTAAAACGGTCATAACTCTTGACCAATGGGGACGAACCATTTTAAGTTTCTCTTAGTCTCATAGAAACTTACTCGTAGCCACATAAAAGTCGTTTCGATTAGAAAAGGTGATCGAAACAAAAGTTTCAATACACCATTGGGTAGCCCTTATGAAATTGTAGTTGGGTCGCTGCTATATGGCTTAGAGATATATGTTAGAACAAAAACGGTGTTAAACTCTTGCGTAAGTCACTGGTTTGCAAGCTTTTTGCCATATCTCGCTGGAAATCGCTCTAACTCGGTACAAGTTCATTGCAGAAAAATTGCTAAGCCTGTCGAGTTTATTCTATCTCGCGGAAAAGGTCGAAGTGCTAGCCTCTTCTCCTGGTGAGCAGCGAGGTTCGATGTTTGCACGATTACTTTAACATTTTGCATATCAAAACCAGGCAAAAACTCAGCAAGCTTTTCTTGATAGGTTTAACTTTATTCAAGATGTTAGGTTTAAATATTAATGGACATATTTTATTTCTAACCCGGTTTATACGTTTATTCAGCTATGGATTTTTATCCGTTGGTTTATTATTATATTTAACTGAAGTTGGATATTCACAGTCACAAATTGGAGTTTTGTTTACTGGAATATTAATTGGAGACCTTGTTATCACTCTCTTTCTAACAACAAGAGCTGATAGATTCGGTCGTAGAAATATTTTAATCGTTGGAGCACTATTGAAAATTGGTGCGGGACTCACTTTTGCATTTGTTGATAGCTTTGCAGCGCTATTACTAGCAGGTACTATTGGTATTATTAGTCCTACAGGTGGTGAAATAGGACCATTTTTAGCTATTGAACAGGCTTGTTTAACTGAATCTATGAATGATCCTGAGCAGATAACAAAAATCTTCGGTTACTACAATTTTGCTGGATATTTTGCTCAAGCATTCGGCGCATTATCATCAGGTTACATGATTACAATGATGATGAATATTCATGGATACCTAGCATTAACAGCATATCGAGCTGTTCTGATTGGTCATGCTGTATTTGGTGGCCTAAAACTGGTTTTATATTCATTTTTATCTCATTCAATAGAACCAGCGGTACAAGCTCGGGACCTCCTTTCAGCTCAAAAAAATTGGTGGTTCACTAAGTTTGGCTTACACAGAAAAACATCTGTCACAATTGTTACAAAATTATCAGCATTATTTACATTGGATGCTTTTGCGGGAGGATTTGTAATGCAAACAATTATTGTTTATTGGTTTCATGAAACATATCATATTGATACTGATCTTCTAGGATTAATGATGATGGGAGTCAATGTACTCGCTGGTATCTCTGCACTAGCAGCTACACCATTAGTTCATAAGATTGGTGCTGTTAACACTATGGTGGTTACTCACTTTCCCAGTAATCTATTTTTAATTCTCGTTCCATTAATGCCTAATCAGCGCTTAGCAGTCATAATGTTATTAATTCGTTTTTGTATTTCGCAAATGGATGTTCCAGCTCGTCAAACTTATATTGCGACTGTCGTCGATGCTGATGAACGTTCAGCTGCTGGTGGTATAACTAATATTGTTCGGAGTGTTGGATTAAGTTTAAGTCCTCTCATTGCTGGTTATCTATTGAAGGATCCTTCTAACACATTACTCTTCTCTCTGCCATTTATTATTTCTGGCACATTAAAATGTTTATACGACATATTATTATATTTATCATTTCGATTTTCTGCTCCGGTCTCAGTTAGTATAACTGAGAAGAAATAAAAAATTAAAAGGAAGAGAAGCTTTAAATAAATGGCAGAATACATACTTTCACACAACGTCAGATTCAAACCATTACGGAAAAAAAGAGAATGAGTGACTGTAGCAACTCACGAGGGAACCTCCCGAGGTGCCCCCTTCCGATTTCAATGATTTGTACATGGATCGATAGATCTCAGCGAGGTAGTAAAAACCCTAAAAGAATTCGGGTGCATGACTCTGGAAGATCCGGTTTTATGGAAAACCAATTCTTCAGAAACTCTAAAAAATAACCAAAACCTGTTCTTACTGAGTTATAACTGTAGCCCACAAATTTCTGATTAAAATGAGACATCTCCCAGCTCTACACGATCTTTCTTTGCAAGTTATAGAATTTATAATAAAAAACTTAAATGTTTATTGTCAGCTCAAAGCTACAGAAATAAGAAGAAAGTAATTTAAGGTTTTTCTTGTAAATTCTATAACTTTGCAAAGAAAGATCGTGTAGAGCTGGAAGATGTCTCATTTTAATCAGAGATTTCCGGGCTACAATTGTAACTCATTAAGAACAGGTTCTGGTAATTTTTTAGAGTTTCTGAAAAACTGGTTTTTCATAAAACCGGATCTTCCAGTGTCATGCACCCGAATCCTTTTAAAGTATTTACTATCTCACTGAGATCTATCGATCCATGTACAAATCATTGAAATCGGAAGGGAGCATCTCGAGAGGTTCCCTCGTCAGTATAAAGTACACTAACCCATTCTTAATGCAAAACAGCAGACATTCTTATTTACAATGTTTTGTAAAACGAAGTTTACAAAAGTATAATTCTTCTCTTCTGACAGCACTGTTTACACAGCTGTTGATACCTTCTCCAACCGAGTCATTTTCATCTTTACGCCTTGTTGGTTTATATCTTTATTGTTTCTAATAATACGGCCAGCGGCGAACCATTTTTAGGCCATGCATAAGATAGGCTACATTTAAGTGATAAGATGTAACAGATGGAAGATGAACAGTTGAAATAATGATCCATTCTTGTTTCGTCGACACTAATTTCTTGCTCGATTCGTCGACAATTTTTTAATCTTGGTTTGTCTGCACTATGTTTTTAATCAATTAAGCTTGATTATTGTTTCGTCAACACTTTTTTATCCGTTGTAAAACATGGAATTCTAGTTGCAATTATAAAGTTTTTATTTCGCAATGATCATGCATACAATTAGGCATGCAACGGTTACGGTTAACCGTAACCGTAAATAACCGCTTTATAACAACTTAGTGTATATTTGATTTTTAGTTCGTTGATATCGGTTTACATTAGAAGTAGGCAAGGATGGTCTTTGTCCTGACGTTATAGTGCATCTACTAATAAATTTATGAAAATTCTAGGGAATAGGTAAGGTGCTCCAAATTCAAAATTATAGCACTATTTTATTTTTGGCTTAATCGTACATTATTCGATGGAGAATTTTACGCTGATCAAGATTATCTGATTTTTAGCCTTCCCAGTTCACATTATCAGTGGAAAGAATTCAAAAAACTTGACGAATCTCTTTGTTCGAAAAACCACTAATTTATTTTAAAAACTGAATAACTTGGTTCGACCTCATTCCGAAGCCGTAAAACTATATTTTTCTTATTCACCGTTGAAAACTGCATCTAGAAAACTGTATTTGAAGGTTCAACACCAAAAAATATTTGGTGGACGCGAAACGGGACCGATATATCTTTGGTTTCGAGACCCTCATCTTGAAAACCTATCGCAGCTCTTTGGTTAACACATGAAGCCAAGTTTCATACGTCATTCGATTCGCCTTGCAACGAAGAAAAAAAGTATGAATCGCTTTTTTTAAAAATGTTTTTCGTTCTTGAGATATTTGAATTTTATTAAAAATTAGCCGTTTTCGCCTAAAATCGGGCAAGTCGTTTTTCCTTAACTTTTTCATTTTTCATCCAAAATTCTTCAAACTAACAGACAATAGGTAAGAAACGATGCTAAATCTAATGAAAACATTTGCAAGATCTCCAGGTGATTTCTGGAAGGTCTCTGCAAAACTTTGTGCCATATCTCGTACATGATTGTGAGTTTATTTGCGATTTCAAACTTTTTTATTCTCTTCTTACGAAATTCTTCTTGTTCTTTAAAATATGGGGTATGTTGATCATATAAAAGCAATTAAAAAACTAAAATATATCTGACTAATGTGAGTATAAATAAAACATGTATTAAAAGTAAAACGCACTAACTATCCGGTTTACTGTTGACTATTTTACGGTGAGATACGATATTGTCTTTACAAAGATTAGAAAAAAACATTTGTAGAATATGTTTATAGTCCTTTCCTTCTTCATAAGCAGTGAGAGTTTTCCAAAATCTTCTACACAATTTTATGTATATTTCTTTTTCTTCAAAATTAATTCATGAATCATTAATTAATGAAATCATTCTAGTAAACCTTTGATCACTGTGGTTTCTCACGTATCTTTTCATATGGCACCACATACTCTCTATAGGATTTAATTCACAATGATACTTCGGCCCATATAAAACTTTTACACCATATTCCGAAGCTAACTTTTCTAATTTTGTAACCTACAAAATCAATAAATTCGAAGAGAAACCTTTTAGATGAAAACAAGAAACTCCTTTAATTCTAATCTGTTTTTCTTACGTTTTTAAATGTCTGAGTAAGAGAGCTTTCAATTCATCAACTTTGCAGCCTTCAGGCACACGTATACCAAGATCCAATGCAGTATTTAAAAGTCTTTTTGACTGTCGTGTTAAATTTTCAGTAGTAAAATATAACACGACAGTACTGGATAACGGGTGCCTGGACTTTTACCAAAGTCATGAAGGTTATACTGTCTTTTGGTGTGTGTTCTCGCGTTATCCACTAAAATCTTAAACGAATGATCTTTGTATTCCTTTTTGAATTGAAGTAATTTAAAAAATCTCTCAAATTGTCCCAAAACTAATGAATTATCCATATACAGATCACCAACTATGTTAATTGCTGCTAATGCTGAATGTTTTTCATATGTAATATCACTATCTTGTAATAATTCTGGATATTTCTTTGTTGCTTCATTCCATTCTTCTTGATTCACTATTAGTTTTAATAAAGATATCCATTGCTCAGTTGATTTTTTTTATTGAATTTTCTCAACTTTTTCAAATTTAAAATTGTAGTATACATTTTTATAATTGCAACTCTAATTTCATGTTTTACGACGGATCGAGCAAGAAATTACAGTCGACGAAACAAGAATACCCCGAAATAATATTAAAAAAAAGCTAAATAACGTCAAGGAAAAGCGAAAATAACACAGACTAGGCGGAAAGACGTGACGTGGACTAATTTAAATATTATTAACGTTCTACTAGCTAATCATCAAATCTGTTAGTTTGTTTAACGTAAAATACAACTACTTTTAAAACAATAGCAAGTGAATCATCATCTAGATTCAGGTCACAATGATCAATGGAAGTAGTTCGTCAGAACGTTTTTTTGTTAACTTCAGTCCTGCAAGGCTCGGTTTTAGAACCTCTCCTTTTTCTAGTTTATATCAATGACTTGCCAGGTATTTTAGACAACACTTGTTTTCTTTTTGCTGATGACTATTCCATTCACGTGAAGGACAAAGATTTAGATAGAGCTGTTGCGAAAATGAATAAGGAGTTGGAAATATTATATAAATGGTCAGTAGATTGGAAACTTCCACTAAACATAAAAAAATGTGTAAGTATGCTCTTTTCTCGCACCACTCTGGCTATAAATTTGCCATCTTTGAAAATAAACAAAATTTCGTTAGACTACGTTGAACAACAAAAAATTTAGGTCTCATTTTTACTCAGAAGTTAGATTGGGGTCCCCATATTGACAATTTAGTTAGTTCGACAGAAAAGTTAGTAGGATCAAGCAAATTTCTAAGTAGATCATTGTCACGTAAGGCAATCTCTTTACCTTATAATGTCTTTGCTCTTGGAAGAATCAACTATGCAAGTGTCATTTATTCGGGCACAACTGAATCAAACTTGATAAAACTTAACATCTTACAATATGAGGCTGGCTGTGCGATCCTAGGAGCGATGAGTGGTACTTCATACGAAAACGTTTGCTTGCACTCGGGTGGGCTCCACTTTACCTGAAAAAATATGAGAATTCAAATATTGTAAGATATGACATGTTCGATGTTTATCGATTATGTCCTTTTTACAAAGTAATGAAAGAACAAGTACCCTTAGAGATTTACACCTGTAAGTTATTCATTGCGCAGTCAGGCACGAGGACTGCTACCGTCTCATCATGGTGGTCTGCTTGTACTTAGAACTAGTTTTATACCATCTATCACTCAACTATGGTACAGTTTACTAATCGATGTAAAAAATTCGAAAAACTCAGCAACATTTAAATTTAAAATGAAACAACCTTTTTTTACTGATCTTGAATCTCCCACCTGTGACCGACAGAATTCTGGAAATAGATTTTTCACGCTTTCGATTGGGTTTCACATAGTTGAATGAGGACTTGACTAAAAGACATTTAGTGGCTGCCCCCAAGTGTGAGTGCGGATATAAAAGCGAATCATCATCTCACTTTTTCCTTTTTTGCGCAAAGTATATAGCGCAACGTTCAGAACTGTTAAAGACGTTTCAATCTATACTACAAATAACCGACATAACCATAGATCATTTACTTTTTAAAAACAGCGACATGATTTTACTTGGAAAACATAAAATTAAAATCCTATACCTTTCTATTTTAGAATTTTTAAAGGATGCTAAACGTTTTCGCCGGACCCAATGATGTGCAACCCTTCTTTTCTCACCAAAGTAGAACTGTACCCCTAGCAGATTTCTGAAACAAAAGAAAACGTTTCTTCGGATATGATAAATTCTTTTTTAACTTTACATCACTTTGCTTGTTTCTTTCTTTTTTTACTTGTTGTTCTTTTTCCTGTTGTTATTATTCTTACATTTGTTTAACTTCAACTAACATGTAATGAGCTAGCTCGATTTGTTGGGAAAATAAGAAAGTTTAGATTAGATTCAGATCATTCAGCAATACTGTGTCGATTGTCGTGGCTAGAAAATATAGTTCGTGTTTTAGATTTTGTCTCACATTGTGATAGAGATTTCACTGCAGAAAGTAATGTTAAAATATCCTTCTTTCCATTCCCACATTTACATTTAAGTGAGTCTACACACTTCCGTTTGTGCAGATAAAAGTTTGAAGGAGAAAAGCCAGACTTTAATCTCATAAAAAAGATTTCATCTCTTCTATTAGTCTAGTACTCTCCAGTTTACTCATATTACTAGATATAGTCAATGAGTAGATGACAGCACCGTAGTTCAAAATTGATAGTAAACAAGATTTAAAAATAATTTCAAGTACCTTTTTAGTCAATAAATGCTTATGCAGTTTCATTAAGGCCTCCCACCCCTCTCCGAAATTAGCTCCAACACCATGCATTCGATCTTGACGAAACTTTCTAAAAATGTTAGGCACAATGAGTTACGGGAATGAAAAAACTTTGGCTGCAAGTCTTAGCGTTCAGGAGTTTTCCAGAGATCAAGGTTCAAAAAGGACCCTGATGTTTCAAGATTTTTTAACATACTTTAAGCTGGAGAGTTCGAGTTTGTTTTACAGACACCTAACTACATGGACTAACAGGAGCCGATTTTTTACTTAAGCCTTTATTGGTTTTCCAGGTAACCAACAACCTTCTAAACCCGAAAAAGCCTTCCGGATTTTCTAAAAATCTTCTATTTGACAAAAAACAAGGACCTAATTCAAAAATCAGCGCCTGTCAGTCGATGTAGTTACTTTTCCTCTTTTAAACAAAAAAAGAATGAACCTTCTACGACAAACCGCTATTAAAAATCTTGGCACACACTTCAGGTATAACTTCCATGTAGAGAAAACGCTATAGTAACGCTGTATAAAATGCTCAATTTTAAGACTTCTAGGAAAATGCCTGTAACTTTTTGATGCAAGGTCATACAGAGTTGTGCGAGATCTTATTTTCATCAAATACGTTTGCTCTACAAAGTTGTATTTTCAGAAAAATTTTAATTGCATACGTATCCAGGAAAAAGCTATTATCGACGATCCTGTTTTCCGGGACTCCTAGAAAACTTGCTCAAAATCCCCGAAAAAACAGTTTTGTAACAAAAAGGAATACAGATTCTGGAATTAGACACTTCAGGCTATGTTTCCATGTGTTTATCTCAAAACCGATTTTTTGACCGAAAATCACCATTTCTGAGGGGAGGGGGGTCTTTAATCCTACAATAAACGGTACCTTAGAATGCACCTTTTCAATGTGATATGTCCACGACATGTCACGCGTAAAAACCGTACCTAAATATCTAACTACATCTCTTTGTGTAATCGAAGCACCATATGGTGCCATATTAGGGATGGTAAGGTTGATGATTTCTTACAATAATAACCCGAACTAAAAGTTATTGCTTCCTTCACACTAAGCCTAATTTAAAGGAATATGCCATTTCTCTGACCACTCTTGTATTCTACTGACTAAATCTCCATGTAACTTTAGCGCACAATTTAGAGGATCATCCTCATGATTTATTAAAAATACATAGTCTGCAAATAATCTCGCAGTACTTGCTATACCGTTTGGTAGATCATCTTTATAAACTAAGAACAATGGAGGATCAATGATTGTTCCTCGTGGTACTTCTTTTGTGACCTGTGAAAATAAATTAGTCGTGCTATCCTTTGCTACAAAACCAGATTGAAATGACGATAAAGGTTTATTCTTAACAAGATGATTAAATAACGCTTGTGGGCTAATCTTTCTGAAATTTTCGATAAAGCTGGCAATAAGGTTATAGGACGATAATTTGATGGATATAAAAAATCACCACTTTATATAACGGATTTATCGTACCATTTTTCCAACGCTTAGGAAAAACACACTCTCAAATGACTCGTAGACTAGTTGTTAGTGTGTATAGGGGTATCTATTTTATATACTCTTTATTCTCATTGTCATGTTTCAACGTCAAAGGTATCTCCATCAGACTAAATAGAACAAAGTGAACAAAAATATAATCAGTTGCACTCTGTATATCTGATAGTGCTGACCAAAAAGACAGCGGACGTAACGTACTAAAGAGACAACGACCAGTTATTATTTTCTTCATCAGTACTATCACATAAATATGGTTGAACTAATTATATATGCAATATTTCTGGGAAGTAAACATGATTCTTCTAAAGACCACTTTTTCAAAATTTATTATGTTTTATTGCTAAAACTATTGCCATACAAGTATAGAAAAAACTATGGCTGTGTTAATGCTATTACCTGTCCAGTTATTGGTGTACTTAGTTTATCTTTCAAAAATACTGATAAACTTAAAGACTCTGGACTTAATCTTGTTCTTCCTTTACGGCCGTAAAATGAAGATAAGCTAAATGCACTTTCTGATGCTACACTTGTACTAGGAACTGCCAAAACGTTTTGGATATTTGTGCGAGTATAAGGAACACAGTTTCGTTTAATTTCCAAAACAATAATGGTTTTTTCCCAAGTTCTTCATTTAATGAGTATTTTAATGCTAATGCTTTATAATCTTTTAACTCTTCTGCTAATGACGTGATTGCGCTGGGGTAAGAGTCACTATTGACGCATTCTAAAAATTGCTGAAATATACTTGGTTTAATTTTTTCCATTTTAACATTGTCTTTTTTTTTTGTGGTTGTTGTTATTGGAGTAGAACGTGATCCTTGTATTTGCGTGGTTTTACACTCAGCGCCGTACTTTTGTTTAATTTCTCGCTCAACAGCGGCACGTTCATCCATCGTCATCACTGATAAGCCAATTGGATTGAAATAAGAATAGAACTAAACAAATCGAACAAAAAAATCAGCTATAGAAGGATGAAGAGTCTCATTTCAATAAAAACCAATAGGTAAGATTCTGCGAAACTGTATAACTTCAGTTCAAGTTTATGAATTGAATTTGGCACATAATCTCAGCTATATAGTGAGAAGACCCATCGCTAGACTATTAAAATGCAGTTGACTGGTTACTACAGTTATTACATAACCTTCTCTCTTCAGTTGAAGCGGCCATAAATCCAGTATAAAGTTTCTTTTCTTTCCATTAGACACTCGGAGAATTTTATTTTTTCAGTTACTTTTAATATTGCCCATTGATCCGTATACACACGTTAAAGTTGTGCAAATTGACGGCAGTGATACATTGTTCTGCCATGTAATTAAATTGTATTTCTTAGTCTAACTTGTGAAACCATAAGCCGTAGAAAAATTATACTAATACTACTATTCATTTCAAAATAGAATGACTCCTAAATAGTTTTACTGCAAAAAAATAATTCAGAGCAAGAGAACAAATTGCTCGAACACATATAGTCTCTCTTAGTACGTTTTATGATGAAGCAACAGCTCTAGCGGAACTAAGAAAGAATTGAGAACGCTCTTTTGTCTTCCTCATTCTCGATCGATTTAAGAGCAAGGACGAAGGTGGACGAAAGAAGTAAGCAAGAATGTATTCTACTGTGACAAATATGTAAGAATAAGGTGATCGACTGAAATTTATTATAGGCATATGTCTAGCAGCGTTCTAACGATAATAAGACTTTCGTTGGGTTTGGTGACCAAACCAAACTCAAACTGTTTGGGGTCACAAACCCCAAATCTTCACCAAACCCAAACCCACTAAACACAAATCCGACCCAAATCCAAACTAACTCGGTACAAAACCCAAACTATTTCCTTCGAATTAATGAAATGACAGATCAGATTTTCGTACAATTCTGTGAAATTGGATCAGGAATAAATAGTTATAATGACTTCTCTGAAAAATCGTTTTTTCTTTCTCTTATGTCGGTAACCAAAGGGTTAATTAAAGATCTATCAAAACTCGTTGGTGCTAACCGCAGTAATTCAATTAGGGCAGTATTAATATCATATAAAGAAATTGTTGAAACACTTAATGATTTAAGTGTAAAATAATAAAGAAGCTAAATCATGTTTTATCGGTGGAAACCTTTTCAAAAAATTAAAATCATTCACCTTTTATATAACACTTACTATTTCCGAAGAATTTATTTTAATCACTAAATGCACTAATTATTCATTTATAGAAGCCGCAAATGTTTGTTTTAACAATAATTGATATTTTAAACGATACAACTAATTTACTTGATCAATTAAGTGCTAATAATGCGACCATGGATTCAATTTTATCAGTAAATATAAAGTATTATTCATTTTGCTGAATTAAGCCTAATACAAACATCGCTAATTCCTATATGGCAGAAAATGATCTTTCAAAATTAAATGTTAAAATGGATTTAGATGATGCGTTTGTTCGAATATAGCGACGAACGAAAACATGAGCATCAATGTACGACGTTTATCGTGAAATTTGCCTTCTCTTCTTTTATTTATAGGCAAGAGTACTTTCTTACAATACTTTCTAAAATTATCAACAGTATGAATGAAGAAAGAACAGTATGCAGTATGAATGAAGAATTGAAAGATGATTTAACAACTTTGAGTGAAAAGTTAAAATGGTTTGCACATTTATCACCTAAGTTTATTCATGTATTTGCAATAAATGATGCAAAACAATTATAAAAACTGATTCCAGCTCTCGACTATGATGGACTTTTATTTTTTGAATTTCAGTTAATAGGCATCTAGCAAAATTGGAGATATCTCTTCTCGCATATGCACGACGTATATCTTCAAGATATACGTGTATATATCTATTAATGACAGATATTCTCTTTTCTCTTTTGCAGTGTGAAGAAGGAGAAAAAGTCAGTGCAGCGTTCTTTTCATTCACCATTTTATTCTTTCAACACTTTTTTAAACTTCTTTTTTCTTCCTCGTTCCTTTTAGGTCACACATATTGCAATGTTCGCACACGCATATCTTGTGCTAGTAGAGATATCTTCAATTTTGCTAGATGCCCATTGAAATTTCAAATTTCAAATTGTATTGATATGAATCAAGCGCATCATTTAATGAAATGAAACAATGGACATTTAAGAGCACACTTAGTTTTCAAATATTTGTTAACAATTCCGGTATCCATTGCTACTAATGAACGATCATCTTCAAAATTAAAAATTATCATAGAACAACCATGTCAAACGAAAGATTTTTTCATTTAGTGTTATGTGCCATCGAGAAAGGTAAATTAGATCAATTAGATTTTGCTGCTTGAGCTAGTGATTAGGGTAAAATAAAAGACAGCTCAAGCAAACATCACCTATGGGAAAAATCTAGATACATTTCATCTATAACCAGGCGATACACGACTAGTTGCCATCTAGCTTACTAGTTGGAAAAGGGACTTTTAACTAGCTACGTCTGCATGTGTAACTAGCAATAGTCAAACTGATCGATTATCGGTTGATAAGCGGTAATTGCAACTAGAGGAAATCTAACAATCACCCGATTCAGTCGGCGATAAATTGAGCACGTGTTTCGTCTCAAATCATGCCAACACCAAAATAACTAACAGAGAATTGATAATACCGAAAAATAATAGGAAACTACCAAAAAATATGCTCAACTTCTTTGAAATAGAATATAAACGATGAATAAATTCATTGTCCGCAGCGGTTAGTATTAGACTGTCAATATCGGTGCTTAAAATTATCAAAATCTATAGGATCTAGTTTCATTAGCAAACTTCACCAGTTTTAAATGACCGCGAAAACTTTGATCATTGCTCATCGAACAAGGGTATTCATGATGAGCAAAATTAGAAAATACATTATCCTCCGCCTATCATGACCCGAAGAGAAAGTCGAAAAGTCATGGTGGTCAAAAAGAGTTTCTTTAACAGCTGAATACAAGAGAAGAAAATATGAGAGCTACATATCTCAAAAACTAAAAAGGGTCTTTTTCTGGGAAATACATTAGTATATAGTACAACTTGTATAGTCCAAACTAGTATAACTAGTGAAAATGGACTCTCTTTAGTTAATTTAAGTTTAATTGGCATAGTTGGCAGAATATCGGATGAGCATTTCTTCTTTTTGACATCGAATAAATGAATATAAAGATTAAAATACAAATTTGTCTTGTCTATAAAGAGAAATAAAGTTTTACACACATATATACGAGCACATAAGAAAAAAAATAGGACAAAACGAGAAAAGATCTCGGAAATATCGCGGATTAGATCTCGATTGACTTAGTTGTATAAAAAAACATGGAAAAGATCTCGATTTTTAAAAATAATTTTTTTTATTTCAAAATCATGGAATGGATCTCGGAAAAATATGTAATACATCTCAATTCAGTTAATTGGATTGAAAACATGGAAGAGATCTTGGTTGTTTTTTGCACACAAGTGTATAACTAACACAATACTATGCTTAATTGATGATATTTTCTCTATATAATATTTCTTAATTGATGATCATATTTTCCTTAATTAATCATCAATTAAGAAAATTGTTTAATACGATCATTTGTGCCAATCAAGAACAACTAAAAATAATCCCAGATGCTGATGCTATTAAGGCCAAACATACTGTTGTGTTAGTGGAAGAATAAAAGGCAAAATCGTTTGTTTTTGAGCACCACATTATTCGCTCATTTATTAAAAATTACATATCGTCGTAAAAGAATCATATAAAAATCAAAGAATTATTTTTTCTATTGTTTTCTGCCATGTCTCGTCGAACTTGGCAAGAGATTTCATCAGGTAGTAATAAAGATTATCTTTTAACATTAATTAAGCAACATAATGTTTGTACAGATCGTACTGAACCATGCAAGAATTATCTATCAATAACATACAAAGTTCAGAATATAAAAAATTTTCTGCATGTTCATATCAATTAAAAGCCAAACAACATGTAGATGAAACATACCAATTATATTCCTCATCATGTCATAATCATCAACAACGCGCTGATAGTAATCGTTTATTATCACCTATTCGTCACAATATTCGTTAAATGACAGATAATGGATTAACAGCTGTACAAATTTAAAAGGTAATGGAAGTATTACATCCAGATCTTTTCATTGATTCAAAAATCAAAAGTGCTGTTGAATATAAACAACAACAAAATCGTTGTCGTATAAAATTCATTGAAAAATTATATTCGTGGTGTTCTCAACGTAATACATATCCGTCAGTTGATAAAAAATACATGACGTTTTCGTACTATATTTTGAAGCTGTGGATGTAAATAATACATTTATTTGTTTAACTACACGTCAATTACTTTCAACATGTAAACATTCCTCTGTATTATATATTGACTGTACATATAAAGTCACAGCTAACGAGTTACCATTATTAGTCTTTGGTACATCAGATTTCAATCGTCGATTTTATCCTATGGATGTATGTTTAATATCTTCAGATGAGTCATTTGAAACATTCAAAATTTTTTTTCGTGATATTCAAGTTTGGGCATCGACTATCAATAATCAAGCATATACAGTATCACATGTTATGGGAGATGGTGCAGCAGGTATTACGGGTGCCATGTGTGAATTACCATTAGCGAGTCGTTTAATGTGCTGGGTACATGTCATCCGTAAAGTTCGTAGACATGGAACATTAATTAAAAATAAAGATAAATTTTATTAGTTGAACAAGATATTATGCAATTACAACTATCATTTAGTGATCAAATATTTGTCACAGCAGCCAGTCTTATGATTAAGAAATGGAAATTAGATAAAGAATTAGAAAAATTCACGGACTATTTTGAACAACAATAGTTGACCGTATTAAGTTTTTGGTATGAAGGTGCCTGTATTTTAACGTCATCAACAAATAATGGTTTGGAAAGCTTAAATGGTCGAATAAAATAACATCATACAATGCTGCACAAATTACCACTATCTGCATTTTTACAAACGGCTGAACGAATGGTCAAAGATTGATCTATTCAAAATGAACAAACACCATTTGCAACTCATATTACGTACAAAGATGATCTTGATTTAGAAGCAGTCGAATGGGTGAAAAAAATTGATAAAACACAAATATTACAATTGACTACATTTAACTTTGTGGTACCATCAAACGATCAAAAAATGAATACATTAACATGGGTTAATCTATTACATTCAATGGCATGGGATTCATATGATCATTTTAACGATTGTCTTCATTCAGCACGTTTATTAGATTTTTCTTGTTTTTTACCACCAATATTTTGTACCTGTCGATATGGTCTCAAAGAATTTGCCTGTGTTCATGCAGCTGATATGATGATGTTATGGGGTACTCGGCAAATGCCGCAAGAAATTGAAAAACGTCGAGGAAAAGGTCGTCCGAAAAAAGTAAAATATCCATTATCAAAAGACTGACATTATTATTAGGATTATTACTATCCTCATCGTCATCATATAATATCTCGGTTTCTGCGTTTATGTTTATTTGTTACAAATTCTCATAAACTTATACGTTGATTCCTTATGAATCACAAAAATAATCTGTATTAGGCCTCATTAATCTATGATAACAAGGATAGTGTTGTGTTAGTTATAAACTTGTGCAAAAAACAACCGAGATTTCTTCCATGTTTTCAATCCAATTAACTGAATTGAGATGTATTACATATTTTTTCCGAGATCCATTCCATGATTTTGAAATAAAAAAATTTATTTTTAAAAGTCGAGATCTTTTCCATATTTTTTTATACAACTAAGTTAATCGAGATCTAATCCGCGATATTTCCGAGATCTTTTAAATTCTTATCCAAAAAAATATGAGATGGAAGAAAAATAAGATCAAAGGAAAGAAAAGTGAACGCAGTGTGTTTGATGTCTACAACTGAACATAGTGTAATATACCGTGAAAACCTTCGACGTAGCCACCGCATCCGAAAAATGGAGGGGGTCGACGAGATCTTTGCGCCGTACAACGTAACTCGTCGCGCTGATTCCGAATATATAAAAACCCCGAAGTAATCTATTCTAGAAAAAAAACTATCAAATTTTGATATGTACTAGATTTCCACTGTCGTTATCCAATAGTTGCAGTCGAATAAAAATCTAGTAATCTAGATGAATCGGGCGATGTCAGATTTTCTTTTTACGCTTGGGAGAAGAATTGAACTTCTTGTCATTACGCATTATTTTTAAATTCTTCTGTTTCTCATTTATTTATAAATCTTGACTGATGAAGATACAGTAATAGAAAGTCAATGACATAACAAAACACTATTAGTTCAGTGCAGCTCGTTTCTTGCGTTTCACGATATTATAAACGGAAAATATTTTTCGGCTTTCGTACTATATCGTGTGACTATTTTAAAAGATTCGCACTATGTCCGAAAGACATTCAGTTTTGCATATCCCCTATTTGCTACCCTAGGTATGTATACAATGTGAAACTTATCAATTTTATGACCTTACCTCACGTTACCTAACCTGAGAATGTTAAGTAACGTGAGGATACCTATATACATACATATATATCTACATATACAGAAAAACGCGGAGTTCGATGGTTAATACTGATGATATCGTTTTACACTCTTTGATAAGTTTCAATTATTGAAGATTAAGCACAGATGTCATAAAGCAAATACGCCGCTAATGGGATCCACTAGTCAAAATATTATCATAATACACCATACATAATGCTTACATGCCTAATACATGGGGGTGAGAGTGCTGAGACAGGTATGGGAGAATCCGTGGGGTACCGAGTCCGAGCCGAGTCACGAGTCCATTTCGAGTCCGGCAATCTTTTAGATTCTTTTCTGAAAAGGTTGGGTGGTTTATTTCTCTTTCTTAATTTACTGAGCTCTGGATAGATATTTGATTTTTAGAAAATAAGGTACTTTGCATGTCCGTCGCCAGAACAAAATTTTCAATTTCTTTTGAAACGGAAGATGTTGTTATTTCGCTTTTCATTTTTCTCTGTTCATTTGTGTTAAAAGTTGAATAGATCGGACTCGAAATACAAAAAGTCAAGTCCGAGTCCTTCAAAAAAGTCTCTAGTCTGAGTCTGCCAAAAATCTTCTAGTTCGGACTCGGACTCGTCCATGCCTGGGCTGAGGGTCAAATTCTAATAATACACTACGGAAGTTGAAGTTAGCCTAGTTGGTAAAAATTATGAACAATGTGAGAATTCTGGAAATTATCCGGCAGGAAAAATATAATTCTCCTTTACTTCTTGAATGTCGAATTTCTATCAAACACTTTTAAGATCTGTGTGATAGTGAACAGAAGCATCAAACCTGTATGTTTCCAACTACAAATGATCATAACATAAGTGAAATAAATGAAGATGAATTTGTTGCTAATACAAATCAGTTGTTCATTGATAGTGAAAGTGAACTGTTTTTATTCTAAATACACTTACATCCATTTGTTTCTTATCTCTATGTTTCCGGCACACTCGCATCAAATAATATTTGTACAGGGAACCAGAGTTCTTCATGTGTAACATCAATAAAAAGTTTAAAAAGATCCTCTCTTATTTGTGGAATGGTCTCTATGTGTTCTCTTATCAACAGAGCGATAATAAGCCAAGAAATATTTCTCAAGTACAGAGAACATTGTCTCTCTATCTACTACAGTAATCCCAATCCATTTACTCTGCTTAGAATTTAGAAAATTTCATTTTTATTTTATTTTCTGTGTGGTCAAACTTGAATGTTACAAACAACAGAGAAACCAAAGAAGCGACGGTTTTATACTATCTTTTCCTCCCACACACTCATTTCTAGGTGTCTTCTCAGTTCGTCTTAAATTGACTTCTCGGTTCGTCGCACGAAGCTTTTTTTCTCAGTTTATCCCATCAACACTTCTCTCTCAGTTCGTCCCATATTAGTTGACACTTAATTCAAAGCGATTTCTTGGGTAGTTGTTCGAAATTTGGGATAATTAAGCGCTCTACGATGATAAAGTGAAGCATCAACATTCGGAACTGTTGGAAACACACCACTAATTGCAAGACCAGGATTGGCAGCTCTTGCTCTGACGACCTCTTCTGATTATAATTTTGGAATAGGTAGTATTTCCTCTCTTGCACGTTTTTTCATATTATCAACAGCAATATCGATGAGGACTTTGGTGGTATCTGGTTTACATGTGTGTGCTGATTCATTTCGTAAAACTCTCACATCGTCTGTACATAATGATTTTGTACTTGGACATGTTCAATCCAAACATCACCATCCATTATACCCATTATGGCTCAAAACTGGTTTCTCCTTTTCAGTAGACGTGGAAATTAACATTTTGATGTACAAAACAATTTAACTTGTTGAGATTTGAATTTATGATAGTGGTGGCTAACACGGCACATTTTGCTACGTACGCGCACCTTGTATTGTCTAACTGTTCGATGGTGACTTTATTTATTCTGAGGCGCGAGCATAGATATCTGGAACGAATTGAGAAAAAAATATATGGGACAAACTGCGAAAAAAAATCCCGCGACGAATTACTTGGGACCAACTGAGAAAAAAAGCTTCCTGGGACGAACTGAGAGTAAACCCATTTCTATGGAATGGAAAGAGAAACAGGACTTAATGTATATTAATTGGCTACTTTCTAATTTTTAATTACAACATGCAACATTTCACAGCTTTCAAAATCTCAAAAAGTAAGAGTGAAAATCAAAGAAAAGTTTTCCTTTTTATCCATTTCTCTGACACATCTCGTCTCCGTTCTGTACCTTTCTGTACTAGACTGTACCGCATCCCACTCACACA